CAATAAATTTCTCTTCATTCTTATTTTCCAGTTTCAGTGAAGCAGCTCTAGCACCTGAACCTTTGGTTTCTGACATAATCCCAGAACCAAAAAATCACAAAGAAATTGTTGAACAGCCAACAACTTCTTCTCTCCTTTCAACAGCACTAGTTCCCATTCATGACAAGCGATGGCAGTTTGATGGTGGGAGAATCAAGTCCAACTTTGGATTTTTGCCAACATTGAGAAGTAACATGACTAAAGAAGAGAGGAGAAGGATAATGGAAATGAAGGAAGAGAGGCACAGATTAAAGATGGAGATTTTGCAGCTGGAGAAAGAGGCTGTCCAAAACAAAATCCAAAACAGTAATGATGACTGCCATGTGAAACTGATTGAGGAAGAAATTTCAGTTTTTGCATAAACTTTTATGCAATTTCTTAAGCACTTGATGAGCCTTAATAAAATTTTACTTTGAAATTTATTGCATTTTTTCCTTAATTTATTGATATACAAACATATTTCTTTGTTTTTTTTTTACTGAGGGAAATCAATAATAATGACTAAAAGATATTACTGAATTTGAAAGATATGTATTGAAAATCAAAAAATTTATGAGAGTTACAGCACGAGTCAACAGAAAAGCTGAATAAGAAATTCACAAGAATACAGTAGTCAGCTGTTTTTACAAAGGGAATTCAAGTTGAAGTGTGATACTCTCACAACAATATCTGTAACCCATTTTATATTTGAAATATTGCCCAACTGTTTTTTTTTTTTTCAGAAAATATCTAAGAGGAGTTATGCTTATAAAAGCAGACTGGATTTAAGATACGGATGCAAAATTAAATCACATGAATTTTGCTCTATTTTTTAAAACATAAAACAAGGGCAATAACTATTTTCCACCTTTCCACAAATACTTAATTCTTTAGTCAATTTTGTTATAGCACATTTTTTGTGTTGAAACTCAGTATTTTACTAGTTTCCCTGTATACAGTAAGATTAAACTATTGTTCTGTAGGTTCGCATTTTTTCTTTCACAGCTAATAATTAACATTTAATGTCCTCAGAAAAAAAAAAAAAAAAAAAAAAATCAAATTTGAAAATTACAAATTTCCTTGCATTGATTACAATGTCTCTCAGGGATTGGATGAATGTTGTTAGTATCCTGTTACAATTAATAGAAAAGAATCTTTAATAAATCATTCAAGAAATGGCTCCAAAATTAAAGACTGCAATATCAACAATTTCATAAACTTGGGCAGTGGATGTCACATACAAAAAAAAAAAATTGGTTCTGATCTTATGGAACAAAAATAATTTCATTCTTGATCTTTATGAATTCTGTAGAAAGAACAGTGGAAAATCTGACAACAGCCTAATCATAATGGAACTGTCTATATTTCCGAGATGAGGTATTATGTACATTATTTACATCATTCGGACTATTGTCCTCATCTTTATTTGTTGCCATATTTAATACAACATTGTACGCTCTGGCCTTCTTCAGGTGGTGGAACTAGAACAGTCTACCACAGTGAGCAAAATAAAGGGTTCAGTTCAACATTCCAACCACATGAAGAACATACAACGGCCAAAACGTTGTAATAAATATGGCAACAAAGATGAGGACAATAGTCTGAATAATGTACAACGGAATTAATGGAACTCTAAAACATTTTTAAAAGCCAACATTGTTCCAATAAAAAGTCATGGTCACTGTATGATGGTCTGCAACAGAGTCCACTCCAATAGCTAGTGTTTAGTTTCAAAAAATTAGTCTGAAATAAGGCCAGCATTTATCACTCATTGCCAAAGACCAATACACTACACTTTGCAGCTTTGTTTTATTTACTATATTCTCCAAAAGAATACCATTTTTTCAAACAAGTATTTGAAAATTTTAAAGCAAAAAAATTTACAAACAGATGACACAGAAAATGCCTTCATTAATTTTTTAAACTAAGGTTCCAAGAATTCTATGTACCTCACCAACACACTCCCTTTACATCTTTACCTTTTCTCTTACTTCTGCCACCTGCTACCACTCAATGTTTTATGGCATCAATACTAGACTTTTATTTGCTAGTCTTTCTCACTAGAGTAAAACTGGCTCAAGTGCTACAACTTCTAGAGCCCTTTTCTGATGCACATACTCATGATGAACAATTCCCTTGTAGTTGAAGAAAACTGTCAACAATCTCTTCACATTGCTTTGACTCATTCATGCTTTCTTCGGTCTCAGAAAGGTTACGGTCTTCTAATTGGTTTTGGGGCCATAGCTATAGCCCACAATTCATTACTTGTTATGACTCTTTTCAAAAAGATTTGTCTTCCTTGGCATAATCAAGATCCTATGCAGCTGAAACCCAATTTTCTTTTAGGTCAACTGAAAGCAGTTTTGACACAAATTTGGCAGATACACATCCCATACCCAAATCTTCAGTGAGAGTGGACTAAACTGAACTGTTCACATTCTCCAACAACTCATGAACAGTGAGTTGACAATCTTTCCAAACAACTACATGTACATCTGCAAGGTTTTCATCAGTTCTGCTATTTGTGGGTCTCTCAAAATGAATGTCACTGTTGACTTTTTGAGCTATCTTGGAAACGTTTAAACCACTTGTACACTTGTGTCTGGCTAATACACTCCTTCCCATACACTTTTTGCAAGTTTGCATAGGTTTCTGCACAGGTATCACCAAGCTTTTGGCAAAATTTGATGCAGATTCTCTGCTCAATTTTCTCTGCCATAGTCACTGATGTAATCTCTGTAGTGTGGTGAGATGACCACACTCTACACACTTTACTTCCAAGCACTGCTATAAACAATGGAAGCAAGTGAGAATGTTATAACAGTGTGCATGCACAACACAGAGATTTTACTCCATGTATATTAATTCTATTATCATAGCAAAAGTCTTGATACTTTTTTATCAGACTTCATAGTTGGCAATGATTGCTGTTCTCTACGCCAAGGAACCAGAGGTTTTTGGTAGTAGCCAGAGTGACTGACAATGATATGACAAGTTAGGTCTTCTACTTTCTTTGGATGAAAAGTTACATTTCTTTCTTTTTTTTTTTTTTTTTTTTAAGTATGTTACAATTATTATTATAACTGTGTTTTAAAGATGTTAAATATAAAATTTCAAATCAATAAAATGGTTATATGAAGGGAAAAAACTATACTTTTATTTAATTCATCAAACATGGCAGCTTTTTGGTAATTCAGTTAAAGTTGTAATTGCTGTATATTTGGAAATTTTATTCAAGTTGTTTACAAAGAGAAAAAGACAACATGATGTAGACAAGGCTTATAAACAAAAATGATGACTATTTACTATTGTGACTATTTGTATTATATTGTAAAGTTATCACTATTAATTTGTTCAGATTATTTACAATTAAGATCAGTTAGTCCAGCAAAATAAGTTCCCAAACCTTTTAATCTTCTGTCTGAATTTCTGGGATAAGGAGTTATCATAATTTACACTATTTACATGCAGACTATTTTCATTATCTTTGTTGTTGCTATCATGTTTCAGTTGTTGTGTTCTCCAGCCTTCATCAGGTGTATATCAATTCAAGTAGCCTACAGGGAATGCTGAATTGAACCCATTATTTAATCTACAGGGGCAGAATGTTCTCATTCTACTGCCCATGTCTAAGGATATCTATAATTCTTATTTTTAATACTGCTCAGTTATTGATCACCCAATTTCCACTGAGTCCAAGTATACACTACCTGGCTTAGAGATTGATCTCACTATTACTAATAAACATTACTTTTAACCTTCTAGAAAAATGTTTTTCTTATATATAAGAAAAAAAACATGCATTTTATTGGAAAGAAAAATTAATAATATTTACAATAGTGTCATTTGTTTTAAATTAAAATCAGCAATTCAAAAGCCAATATATTGATTCATATGAAAAGTATGTGAATAATTTTTGAAAAAAAATCTTTTTCAGTTACAAATGACTTAATACTAACTTATGGAAATATATGTATCCATTCTGCTCCACTAGAAAAATAGATGATTATTAACTAGTTAAAAGACACAGGAAGGCTCAAGATCTATGATTTACAATATCATCTAAAAATTTCTCCTTGCTTAATCAGTAAGTAATCTTTAAGAATCTTTAAGAAATGAGGCAAACTATCTTGTCATTAAAGTAAGTTGTGTAATATCCAGTTGATATAAAGATAATCTAAATAATTCTTGATATATTGACAGTTACATGAATTGGTAGCCATACAACTTGGGTACCATTAATTTTGTAAGTATATAAATGAGGCGGTAATACCACTAAGATGCAAGGGGTCACTGGAAGTGAAAGAGAATGAGAAGATGTTAGTGATGTGAAAGGACAATAAAAAAAAACAGGATCCAGGAAGACAGAAGATGGTGACTGACATTGCATTTAAATTTTTGAAGATTGTCGGTGGCAGGAAAGCAAGAAACTGGAAGAGATTTCCACAGGTGAGAAGTGCGAGAAAAGAAACTATTAGAATAGAAACTTATGGTTGCATCTATTTCAACAATAAAATGATGTTACCTAGTTATGCATAAATTAGGATGAGACCTACTAGTTACACTTAAATTAGGATGAGACCTAGTTACACTTAAATTCATGCAGTCAAGGTACCAAGGAGAAGAACTCATTAGAACAACTGCAATGAAAACATTTATAGAAAAGACAGAGGGAAGCCGCATACTAACAGTGGGATACTGAATGGTTGAGATGCCAAGTCAAGACCAATAACATTAAAGATCCTTCTTTGAATTTTGTCAAGAATCTTGAGATATAACTAGTCTAGATGAGCTGCAGATTTAAAGTAGAAATTAAAAAGGACTTCTATCATTTTATCAACGAGATAAAAGTTGAGTGAATTAAACATTAAAATATTCTAGTTAATATTATCAACAAACAAGAAAACCAAATGAAAAAATGATTGAAATGTGAATAGACAGCAAAGCCTATAATTTACTTTGAATAAAATGAAAATACTTACTTGTTCTGTAATGGTATCAAGAGATGAGGTTGCTTCATCATAAACAACAATCACTGGGTCTTTCAAAATGGCTCGAGCAATGGCTACTCTTTGTTTTTCACCACCTTATGAATATAAAAAGAAAACAAAAAAAATAACAAACAATAAAAAGAACCCTCATTTCACATCTTAGTCTGAAAAAAAAAAAAAAAAAAAGACAAAGCTGAACTTAGTTTAAACATAAAACATAATCCTCACCCAAACTTTCCACCAACTGGCCAAAGATTACCCTTCAGATTGCATTTCTCAATCTGGTCAATGTGTGCTGAAAGCTATGAAAGAGTTTGCTGCATGCTCACAAAATAACAAGACAAATGCTACGTCAAATAACAACAACACAAATCCTGTTTCCTATAGTAGAATCTTCACCTGCTCACCTGGGTGAGATAGTTGATCTAATAGATCAGCTCTTCTTTCTACCAATTCCTCCCTCATCTACACATCTAGATGTATTGCTGGCAATACACATGTGTGGCAACAGGACCATGTGAGAAACAAGTCTGTCTCCTGACAAGGGCAGACCAGAAGTTAATTCCAATCCCATGTATGACTGTTAATATAAACAAGCAGCCAGAAATAATCAATGTCCGGTTTGTTGTTCCTTGGTCTCCAAAAACCCTTATCCACATCATTACTTCCCCATTCTCCTTCAGTCAGTGGATGCCTCTTAGAATACTAACTTAAAAAAGAACCACCTGCTGGCTATAAAAAAGAAAAACTTGAGATTTAAATAAACCCACAACTTCATTTTATATGTGGAGGTCCATAGCATCAGACTTACTACCAAACTTTAAATAAATTATCAATTGGCAACAATATTTAACAGGATAGGAGTAAACATAACTTTATTATATTATTAAGAAAGCTTTAATGAAATGAGAATGAGCCATATTTTCATATATATATAATTGTTCTACCAACTCTACATTGATCTCACTCTTATTTCACATATAAAAATTAAAAAAAATTTGTTTGAAAAGTAATTATTGCAACAATCTTTTACAGTTATTACAATGTTGAATAATTTAGACAGTAGCATAAGATTTTTCATTTGAATGAATATATTTAATCTACTTTTATTCAAACTTTTCCATGATGATTCTTATAGCTTACTTGAATAATGTTAAATCAAAACATTTAGATTTAAAAACAATGAATATGTAAAATTTAGTAATAAAAATGTAATGATTTCAAGACATAAACTTCCTCATTAAATATTCATTGTTATATGCAACTTAAAATATTTTCCAGTATTCTGTCAATCACCTATAACAAAAATATCTACATTTTGTTAAAAATCAGACTGCAGGATTAAAAATGTGGAAAAGTTAATTAGCCATTGCTTTACACTAATTTAGATGTTAAGTTTCTTACTAAATGAATCAATTGAAACAATGTTTCTTCTAGTTAGATGATAACAGTTCCAAGAAAAATAAATGCTTTATACATAGAAATTTTATATTTTACTCTGATAGTGAAATGTACACTATAGATAAGGTGGCAATGAAAAAGTTAAAATTTTTTAGTGATATACACGAGAGGCAATAATGTTATGTGTGTACAGTTATGCTTAGTATGGTAAGAAATTTTTAATTGTATTCTTTAAGAGATTCTAAAAAATCACCGTTATCTTATGCAAACTTAAGTTAAAAAGCAGTTAAAACATAATTACCATTCAATTATATTTTTTGATTATTACTTTCCTTTTTGTTGCATTTATCACATTTTGATCTTATTAAGGCTTACCAATTATTATTATCATTTACAGCTAAGCAATGCTTAAGTTAGGGCATACACATTGATAGTAAGTCTTTTTGCTTTTATTTTTATTACGTGTACCAATAAATAGTAATCCAACATATATACTAATTGTGGTACCACTGCCAAAATTATTAAATTAGGTGAAATACATATATTAAAAAAAAAAAGAAATAGTGTTTATTACCCGAAAGTTTCAACCCACGCTCTCCAACTTGTGTCTGATATTTTTGAGGGAATCTTTCCATTATTGTGTTGTGTATTTCAGCCATACGTGATGCTTCATACACTTGTTCATCACTTGCAGCAAGATTTCCATACTTGATATTATGGAAGATCGTATCATGAAAGAGAACACAATCCTGAAAAGAGGAGAGGAAAACAAAATAAGTTTGTATTTAGATGGCTGCGGGGATGCTAATATAATTATGCTCAAAATTAATTTTTATTTTTATCTTCAATAGGTAATTGAATAATCTACAAATAGCTATTAGGAACTTTTATGCTTATATAATTAACTAAAAAATTTAAAAAGACCCAAAATAATCACCTGTGGAACAACACCAATTGCTTGTCTTAAGCTGTCCATATCCACAAGTTTAATATCCTGTCCATTGACATAAATGTTCCCTTTTTGGGGGTCAAAAAATCTGTACAAAAGTCGAACTAGAGTGGATTTCCTGAAAAGCAATAACAAATCAATTTTAATTTGATCAAACAAATGAGTGCCTACAAATATATAAAGACACCATTTATTTTTGTAACTTAAATTTGACATTTAATAAAGATTTGTAGAATAAGATATTTAAGATTGAATAAAGACTCATTAGAAAATAGATGTGCATTTTCTTTTACTTTCAGTGTTTGCACACTATCTGTGTGTGTGTGTATATATGCGCACACACACACAAAATGAAAACAAATTATGAAGTGGCATTGGAAAAAAATGATTACTCAGTCAATGTAAAATTTAATGAAAAAAAATGATAAAATAAAAAACATAATAGAATAAAATGACATTTGGTTTAACCCTGCTTCAATAATGTGATGAGAACCAAAGTAGAATAAGAATTTTTGTAATTTTGTTGTAATTTTCCTACACACACATCCACATTATATATATATATATATATATATATATATATATATATATATATATATATATATATAGACACCTTTTCTACGGTTGTATTGAGCTCTTTTTTGTTAGTTAGTTGTTACTCATATCGGGGTTTTTTTTTTTCTTTGGGCTTCAGACCTGCATCTGTGCGATTTTTTTGTCGGCAGAAGTTCACGTTTGTAGCTCTTTTCTTTTTTTAAAACCTTTTTTTCCTCGAGATTGATTTGATTAGCAAATCAAAAATTTGAGGGTTTTTTTGAAACGAGTCTAGTTATATATATATATATATGTGTGTGTGTGTGTATATATATATATATATATATATATATATATATATATATATATATACACACACACACATGCATGCACATGTAAATATATATATATATATATATATATATATATATATATATATATATATATATATATATATATATATATATATATATATACATCTATCTATAAAATACACACACCAAAATTTAACTTACTATAGGGGTAGTAGTATTTTGATGATAATGCAATGTTACTGTAAGTTTAGTATGTTATTACTTATATTATCTGTTAATCCTCCTATCTATGTACATATATGTAGGTACATGTTTATTATGTTGTTTGTGTGTGCACATGTTTGTGTATTTATATATATATATATATATATATTTACATGTGCATGTATGTGTGTGTATATATATATATATATATATATACGTGTACATATATATATATATATGTGTATATATATATATATATATACACATGCGTGTGTGTTTGCGGGTATGTATGTATATATTTGTACTTGTAGTTATATGTTTGTGTGTGTATATATATATATATATGTTGGTATTTAAGGTTGTGATATATGTGCTTGTTTATATATTTATGCGCTTGTATATGTATGTGTGTATATGCATATGTACATGTGTTTTATATATATATATATATATATATATATATATATATATATATATATATATCATATATGTGTATATCTTAGTGTTTTTGAATGAATTATCTATGTTAACTATAATCTACTTTTGTTTGAAAGATTTTAAAATTGCTTGTGGACTTAATAATTAACAGGTGTGTTTTGTTACATTTTAATCTTGTATGGACTGAATCTTTTATAGTCATTTGAATAATATTGTTAGTATATATATATATATATATATATATATATATATATAATTATTTATTTAAAAATATGATTCCAAATCGCTACATAAGAGGTCTCATGTTTCAAAACATAATAATTAAACATTCAATAATTAAACATATACCCTCATCAATAGAAAATAGAATTAGCATTAACTCCGCAAACAGGGAAATATTCCAACAACACAATAGTTTCTATAACACTGCCCTAAAAATAGTGGTTATAAAAATGCTAACATTAACTACAGAGAAAATTACACTGACATGGGAAAAAAACAGGAAAAGAAATATCATTTGGTACACCCTCCGTTCAACCAAAGGGTTAGTATTAAACTAGGACAGAAATTCTTAGTTCTAATTAATAAACACTTCCCCACCAATAGTAAGCTTAGTAATATATTCAATAAGAACACCCTAAAATTGAGCTACAGCTGCTCTGATAATCTTGAACGCATAATAAAAAAAAACACAATAATAAGATCTTGAACAAACCCCCATGCCAAAACAGTATTAATAAAAAAAACTCTGCACTTAAATCAGACGATAAAAGGGAAAAATTATGTAACTGTAGAAACCCAGAAGACTGCCCATTAGAAAATAAATGTTGTATTAATTCTGTGGTATACCGATGTACTATTTCATCCACAGAGAGCCCTAGCACTAATATGATATACATTGGGTCCACAAAAAATAATTTTAAAGATAGATGGAGGCAGCATAAGTGCTCCTTTAATAATATAAACAAACGAAATCAGACTTCACTATCAAAATATTTTTGGCACCTGAAGGAAACAAATAAGACACCAAAAGTTAAATGGAAAATTATTGACAAGGCTAGAATATGTAAAATTTGGGATGACCCATGCTCTTATGCCTCCATGAAAATTGCACATTATTAAACTTCTAAATAATAATAATCTATTAAATAATAGACACGAGTTAACGGTTTTTGTAGGCATCATCAGATTTTTGGTTTGAATTATTAGATAAAAAAATTTATATAACTTGTTTAACAAATAGCCCAATCATCAGATTCATAGTAGGAATAATTAACTACAAACATGCATACAACATAACACACTTCATAATCCATAGCCTAAATTAGTAGTTTAAATACCTTACATATAAGATAACCCTTTATGAAGTCGTCAAAAAACAAACGTTACGAAAAGTTTTTCTTTTTTTATATGCACAATTCCCTTTCATAATAAAATAAAATAAAATAAATAAATAAATCTCCATAGACAAGCAAACTAGACGATGGCCAATACATCTTCCGTTTCATTTTTGACACCCCCACCTTTCCCCGACTTGACACCTTAAAAGTATCTATATACCGCTACTTATTATAAACACCCTACACTCGCCTACCCAATTTAGACAATTCACCCTAGCTGTTACCATGGGGATTTTGATTTCAATTTTAAATAATTTAATAAATAATTTTAAGTAAATTTCAGATATACGTTATTCCAACAAAAATTTTGCTTGAAGATGGAACGGAGCCCATTTTACTTTCAACTCAATTTAATTTAAAGGATTATATTGAAGTTTTCAGCTCTTGTTTTGAAACATGAGACCTCTTATGTAGCGATTTGGAATCATATTTTTAAATAAATAATTATATTTATGCTCTACTTTTGTATCGAGCACTATTTTTTAAAAATAATAACTAAAATACTAAGGGACTTTGGATTATTTACCTAACCAGTTCCTTCCTATTTTCTATATATTTTCACACATATATATATATATATATATATAAATTTTTTATTTTTTTATGTTACTGTGTAGATTGATATATTTATATTTATTTCTGTGTGTGTGTATATATATATATATATATATATATATTACAATAAATGTGCAATCAATTTACAAATACATGAATTATTCACACAAAACTAATGCAAAGGTTAATGATTTTAAATGGCGAGACATCCATCTCGCAAACAATTCAAATATTACAAAAACCTCAGATCCGTTATGAATGAATTGATCCTTGTTAATATAAATTTCGCCGTATTAGTTGTTATTTTTACACAAGCTTTCGTCTGTTCCTACAGACATCTTCAGGTATATAATAGATGTTGTTCTTGTTTTTTCTCTTAGTAATAAGAGGACATCGAAAATATATGTATTGTATCCGAAATGCTATTGAAAATGAGATATTGGTTTTTGAACGCGCCAAAGCAACGCTAAGTTTGATTTTGAATTTTTTCTTTTTTTAAATGCAGAAGTATTTGTAAATTGATTGCACGTTTATTGTAATTTAAATATCTGATCCATGTGCGACTTTTGGTTAATAAGTGCGACATTACTGTAATTATTGAACAATATAGTTCATGCCACTTTGACAGTAAAAAATTTACCAGTAAAAACATTTGTTCATTACCATATTTGGTATAGACGCAGACATTTTAAAAAAAGTTTTTGTGTAATATTTGAATTGTTTGCGAGATGGATGTCTCGCCATTTAAAATCATTAACCTTTGCATTAGTTTTGTGTGAATAATTCATGTATATATATATATATATATATATATATATATATATGTGTGTGTGTGTGTGTGTATGTATATTTGTAGTGATGTGTGTACACATACATATGTATGTATTTTTATATATATTGTTATATATTTGTTCTCATGTATATGTAATCATGCATATATAAGTATATATGAGATATTTATATATATTTGTGTGTTTATATGTTTTCTTTTTTATATATTTGCTGGTTTTATTTTAAGTGTTGCATTTTGCCTGGACATTTGAATTTGGTGTTTTTTTTGTGTGTGTATGTGTATATATTTATTTTTTCTATCCATTTCTATATATTTTAATGTCTTTTTTCTTTACATTGTTCATTGATGACTATTTGTTTTTCTATTCTACCCCTCTTAAATTTTAGAAAAATCTATTCTAAAAATGTTTTTGCATATTTATATATCTAAATATGTCTACGTATTTGTGCATAATATTCTGATTGTGTATGTATTGTCTTTTGCAAGATTTCATCCTCCACTGCCCATATCACAACTTCAAATGTATCTAAGTTGTAATGAAGCTTTACATCCCCATTTGATTAACGTTTATTCTGAGATTTTGGACTTTCAATTAAAACAAAATAAATAATAAAATATATGTATTTTTTCCTCAGTTTCTTCTTTAAATAATTTTATAATATTTTAAACTTAATACAGATTAAATTAAAAATTGGTAATTTTTAATTTTCAATTCTATAGTAAAATTTAATATTAATTAGTTAGAATGATTTCTATTTTAGTCTAACCCTAACATTAAGGCATTAATAATTATAACCAAGGTTCCTTGTCAAGTTTTTTGAATTCTCATATATTTTGATTGGTCATTGCAGCTTATGTAACAGTATTTCCCCTATTGAGG